GAGAAGTGCGTTCTGGCTATTAGGTACGACATATATATATATAATCTATACTATAAGAGAGAATGCCTGTGTGTCGAAAGTTGGAGGCCAGACGCTCGGGGCTAGCCATATCTAAATTTGCAGGATGAATGGTCTGGGGAACGGGACCGAGATAGGCTGGTTAGGATCGCCAGAATTCAGGAAGTAACAGCGTGCTACGATCACATTTTGAACCCCCCAGTGCTATTTTTGGCACTCCCCGTCGGTTACACTAATCACAATAATTTGACAAATTAAAAAAAATATATATATATATATAAATGTACACCGTTATTCACTGTTCTTGGGAAAATTAACATATAAATTCTCTTCCTTTCCTTCCTTTGGCTGTAATAGCATAAAATACAAAACTTTTCCAAAGACTCCAACTTTCTCAAGCCTCGCCTCTTTTCCAAAACAAGTGGATAACTATTATATTTGTTAACATTTCGTACCGCTAAGCTCCTCCCACAGGCGGACAACCCACACGCCAACTGTAGACATTTATATTATATATATATATATATATATATATATATATATATATATATATATATATATATATATTTTTTTTTTTTTGTGTGTGACGGTAAAGCGTTGGTGTTCGGCTGTTTCAAAAGCTAGGGGCAGGGCCTCGTCACATAATAGAAAAAAAAGAGAAAAGCTGGAGCTTTCGTCTGTGGTAAGGTAATGGGAAGACACACAAAACACAAGTAAATTAACAATGAAATTTTAATTACTTTAGAAAAACAAGACATGAATAAAGTTAATTAAGCACATAAAATATGAAAGACAAGTCAACAAACAAAATAATATGAATAATCACTGGCAAATGAAAAGTTACGTTAAGACAAGTGAGTTACAGTGATAGCAAAATAAATATTAGTGATGCTGGAATATTGGCTTCGAGCTGCCACCTCCCTTAGTACACGAAAGCCAAGGCTTAGTCTACTAGCGAGAGATGTCAACTGCTTGGAGCACTGAGATATTCTGACAATATTAGCGCACTGCAGCCCAGACGTCAACTTGTGGCGGAGGGCAGGTGCGACGGGACACCAGCCAATCAGCGACAGGCAGGCAAAGGATGAGCAGTTTGCTGGTTACGGTGGTGGTAGGTAGCAGGTGTCACTGTGTGCTGGGTACGATTTGCTCTCTAGGCAAAACGTTTTGGCGATACTTGGTAGATGTATCTTCTATATTATCTTGTATATTGACGTACTTTGTAGGGAAGAGCAGGCTCAATCTCTCTTGAAAGAGATTATCGTCACAATATATATATATATATATATATATATATATATATATATATATATATATATATATATATATATATATATATATATATATATATATATATATATATATAAGAGAGAGAGAGAGAGAGAGAGAGACCACAGTGAAATTGAGGACATAACAGTTAAAGCATTTTCAACTTGTGTTTTCATGTCATTTTCAGTAGCTGAAGATGACTTTAAAACACAAGTTGAAAAACTAGCTGTTATTCTTCCAACTTCACTGTAGTCATTGATCTGTTGCCATATTAATTTGTGTTTATACTCTCACGCGCACTCACTCTCTCTCTCTCTCTCTCTCTCTCTCTCTCTCTCTCTCTCTCTCTCTCTCTCTCTCTCTCTCTCTCTCTCTCTCTCTCTCTCTCTCTCTCTCTCTCTCTCTCTCTCTCTCTCTCTCTCTCTCTCTCTTTCTTTGTTGTCTAATCCACACGCACGTCAGGATAGCCTCATGCCCACTTGCCAAAACACACAGAAGTAGCGTTAATTCGACGTCATTCGTGCATATTGTGGTCCAGGCTCGTTAAAGCGGCAAACTACCCCTAAAAAATTCAACTTATAAATTGAAACATATTTTGTATTGTGTGTGTGTAAATCAGGAAGAAATTAACAAGTGATGTGTTTTAATTACATATATATAATTATATTATTATATATTAGAATCTATGTATAATTACGAGTAGGTTAGTCTAAGTGTTTATGTTCTGATGGCAATTACTTGTATTTACTGTACGTGGGTGAATGGAATGGAACTATCAGGGGAAAGCGCCAAGCCATTACGACTATATAGCACTTAGAAGGGGTTAGGATAAGGATCTGGGATGGGACGGGGTGAAGGAATGGTGCCCAACCACTTGGACGGTCAGGGATTGAACGCCGACCTGCTTGAAACGAGATCGTCGCTCTACCGTCCACTCCAAGTGGTGGACATAGCGTTTACGGAGTAGCGATGCAAACAGAGAACGTCAGCGAAGCAGTGTTCGAACGTCCGTTGTTGTTGTTTCAGATTTAGCTACTCAGGACGAAGTGTCCAAGTAGCACGGGCTATGGTGAGCCCGTAAACTTTGAACGTCCATAATAAATAGGCTATATAGGCTAGGCTACTTGAATACTGACGTGGGATGCGGGCTACATCACGTGACCTGCAACGGTGTGCCTGTCCTGATACACATTTAATCCGACAAGCAGAATAAACATAGGCTACCAATATACATACATCACAATAGCGTGATGTATCAAATGAACAAATCCACAAGGGACCACTGTGAGGACAGTGGAAATCCCGGTTACAATTTTTTTACCATGTTGTGGCCTAGGAAATGTATATGTTTATCTCTCAGAATGTTCGGCAATATGTTTATTGTTTGTGATGTGTGTCTATATAAGTATGAACACGTTGTACTGAACCGGGTGAGAATAGTTTGAGCTACCTCATTCCTTTGTGTGTATTTTACCTCAATAAACGTATTTCAATTCTATTTCAATTTCAATGTCGTGGTCTAGTCGACTAAGGCAGCGTCTGGGATCATCCCAGGCGTAAGTTCGAACCCTCATCACGGTCCTTGTGAACTTGTTCATAGGCTACCAAGTTTTAATAATATAATTGTTTACTTTCGCTTTATTGTGCTTCTTTAAGTTTTATTAACATAGCCGTAACGCTGCTAATTATGTGAACGTCGCTGAGTCACTCAGGTTAAGTACATGGGTCTGGCCAGTCACTGGATGGACGAGCATGTGGACGCAGTCTAGCCCTAGGCTAGGGTGTTCTCGTCCGGCCATGTAGATTTTTCCTGTTTCAAGATGTGTATCATACTTGTATATCCCATTGAAAATCTCGTTGCTTTAACTCATCTATAGTGAATTTTGATTGTTACTTAAACTATTATTATATTATTCCATTTATATTAAAACTTTCTAACTTACGTCAACATTATTTACATTGCACAAAAACACATTAAAACTCACAATATTTAAATGATCTTGCTAACATCCATCAAACTGCATTAATATAATCCCATACTGCCATATGTAATTGTACCAGTATGTTGTTTAACGAGCTGCAGTTAAATCGTATACATGTTTCTTAACAAGGTTCGTTTTCTAATTGTTAAAATCGTACAGAGCATATCGTTAGGTTAGGATGGATTAACTTATGTTAGGTTGGATTGAGTTAGGCTAAGTTAGGTCATTGGAGTGGGCTAAGTTAAATTATAGTAGGCTATGTTATTGTTACTCACGTCGCCTAGGTAGCCTAGCTATACTAGCCTAGGTTAAATTAAGTTTGGTTTCGTTGGATTGGGTTAGGTGAGGATGAGTTGGGTAGATTTGATAAATCCATTGGCGAGCTGTCTTCAGTAAAGAGTTACCGGTATCTTTCAAGACATTAGCACAAACATGGGGGTTCATTCACACCTCTGATAACCATTCACAGCCTCGCTCCTTCCCCCGCCACCACACCTGCCTCTCATTCATCAAGACTCAGCAGTGAGAGACCTTACGCTCTCTCACAAGCACCTCACTCATGTACGACCATCTAGAAGGGTCAGTAATTCATATATTACTCCTCACGGTGCCATGGCTAACACCACCTTCATACAAATTTGAAAAATACACAACCTTCCTGTGTTAGCTGAAATGTATTTCAGTTGTATATATTATATACTAAACACTATATTAACAAGTATAGATAGTATAGTGTGTTTGTGTCTTTCGATGAACCAGTTTATTTAATCTTCCCTTTTGCCAGGGAGTTGATATATCGATTTGAGTCCTGCTCCTCTTGCCTCTGACCGTCAGCGTGTTGTATCCTGCCTCTCACCCTCAACGTGCTGTATCCTGCCTCTCACCCTCAACGTGCTGTATCCTGCCTCTGACCTTCAACGTGTTGTATCCTGCCTCTCACCCTCAGCGTGTTGTATCCTGCCTCTCACCCTCAGCGTATTGTATCTTGCCTCTGACCCTCAACGTGCTGTATCCTGCCTCTCACCCTCAACGTATTGTATCCTGCCTCTCACCCTCAACGTGTTGTATCCTGCCTCTCACCCTCAGCGTGCTGCATCCTGCCTCTCACCCTCAGCGTGCTGTATCCTGCCTCTCACCCTCAACGCATTGTATCCTGCCTCTCACCCTCAACGCATTGTATCCTGCCGCTGACCCTCAAAGTGCTGTATCCTGCCTCTGACCCTCAACGCGTTGTGTCCTGCCTCTGACCCTCAACGCATTGTATCCTGCCTCTGACCCTCAACGCATTGTATCCTGCCTCTGACCCTCAACGCATTGTATCCTGCCTCTGACCCTCAACGCATTGTATCCTGCCTCTGACCCTCAAAGTGCTGTATCCTGCCTCTGACCCTCAACGCGTTGTGTCCTGCCTCTGACCCTCAACGTGTCGTTCACATCATGCCACCCTCAGGGTGCGCCCGCCCACCCCACTTGCCTCCTGCCTACGGCGTCCCCCCCCCCCTGGGTACCTCCCGCCCTCAGAACGTCCCCAGCAGGAGACGCCGCCAGCAGCGCCACGGTGCTGAGAGCCTCTCTCTCTCTCTCTCTCTCTCGAGTCCCTCCTGCTCAGAACCTAACCTTGATGCCCGACGTGCTCACTTCACCCTACCGCCCCTCTCCTCCTCCCCCCCTCACAGGACAATCCCTGCCCTGTCCTCCACCACAGCAAGGAAACCAAACAGGAATACTTACCTCTGGTTGTGATTCTCCTCGGCTATCAGTCACGCCTCTTGTGGAAAGTCAAGTAAAAATCCCCAGAGAGCGAGCGGGCACTACACCTCCACTAGCACCGACATGTTTCCAACTGGAGGTAGATGGCAGCAGCAGCAGCCAAGGTGAGGGTGGCCGTCTCCGGCCCTGAAATCTGAGAACAGGTGAGACGTCTGTCAGTGAGGTTGTCACTTGCGGTCACCGGCGGCATTGTCTCGCCTTGTGGCGGTGCAGAGATAAGCCAGGGGGAAAATTTGACTTGTAGCGTGTGTGCTTAATGGATGCGATGACGGTATGTGATTCAGTCAGGTAGCTAAATATAATGTACCCTGGGGGAGTGCCCAGTTCCCATTTTCTTAAGAGACTGGTAAACAGTTACAGAAGATTTTAAGGGTATACTTGCGTGTTTCTCCACCGATAATTTTTTTTTTTTAGGAACACGTTGGCGTTTTATCATCACTTGTCCACAAGACACTAAATATTTGTAATGTATTGTATGAAATTTTACTGATTTTATACTATATCCTTTCATACTATTGGTAGTCGTACACAAGCTAAGCAAAATAATTTATACACAAATCAATAACAAAAGCAGCCCATGCTCCTGTTTTGGTAGTATAGTAACGATGAAGACCATAGTACAGTATATATACCGACGTACAACGAAATTAGAACGTAGAAAACTGTCCAACTGAGTTGGACAAACCGGAAAACTATTTTTTACTTGTGTTGCTTTGACAAACTAAACTAACTTATCCAAACCTTCCTAGGCCTAATTAATACACAATATATGAGGCCTAATATAATACATGTGTGCGCTAGACTAGGTCTAGGAATTTTAAGTTTGTATTTTAGTTTCATTTATTTTAAAAGAATTCCTTACTAGTCAGTGTACTACTGTCTAAAAGCTAAGAACGTACGACTATTGACGGTTGTCACAATAGGCGGTGAATATCTAAACAGGAGGGAATTATCAGGAGAAAGCGCCAAGCCCTTACGACTATATATGTCTTGGAAGAAATCAGAATAAGTATTTGGGATGGGACGGGGAAATGGAATGGTGCCCAACCACTTTGACGGTCGGGAAGTGAACGCCGACCTGCATGAAGGGGAAACCGTTGCTCTACCGTCTAGCCCACGTGGTCCAGGAGGATGGGTTGATATATTCTCAGACTAATAATTAACCAATGGCGTCATCTAATGAGCTTCAAAGTCAACTAAACAAGGTAAGTCTGTGACCAAATTACACAACACCTCGCTAAGAGATTCCTGTCCGGCTCATGTTGCCAGTGGGCTCAAATTATGTGTCATATAATTGACAAATAGAATTTGCCTTTGGAATACAAAATATTGTCATATACGAGTCCTTTGCTTATAAATTAAAATGACAAAATTAAATCAAGGCATATTATGTACTCTTTCAATATTGCTCAGGCAATCATACTAACATATAACCTAGCTTGTCCCAGTCTAACCCCCCACGGGAGACATCTCCCGTCACGCAGGGTGCAGTCGCACCTCCACAGATCTCCACCCAGTATCAGCTCTTGATACTGGTAATGGCTCAAAAGGGCCACCACTTACGGGCTATTCATGCCCGTGCCACCTTTTGGGTGACAATCTTCATCAATCAATCTGTCTAACCCCAGACGACCTTTTGCCTTCGTCTGGTAATGTGTTGGTGCCTCCTCCGCTCATCCGTGAGAGCCGGCGTTGATACCCTGCACGCGTTGGGTACAGATCCCTCCGTGTCCGATCCCACCCGCATATTCACACACTGTTTCATTTCAGCCTCCGTGCTCACCCTTTCCCTATCATCAGCTTCACTCCTCCCTGACAGCTGGGTGGACAGCGCTTCGTATTCATAGTCCTGAATTTCCGGGTACGATCCCCGGTGGAGGCGGAGATAAATGGGCAAAATGTTTCCTTCACCCTCAGGCACCTGTTACCTAGCAGTAAATAGGTACCTGGGATCACACAGATCACACTAACGTGATGCATCAAATGAACAAATCCACAAGGGCCGTGACGAGGATTCGAACCTGGGTACCTGGGAGTTGGACAGCTACTACGGGCTGCTTCCCGAGGGGGTGTGTAACAAAAAAGGAAGCCTGGTCGAGGACCGGGCCGCGGTGACGTTAAGCCCCGATATTATCTCAAGATAACCTCCCTCCCGCTATCATCTTAACCATCTCCATCCCGTTAACATCTTAATACCTCTCTCCCGCTAGCATCCTAATGCCTCCCTCCCGCTAGCGTCTTAAATCCCTCTCTTCCCTCCCACTAGCATTTAAACACGTCTCCTCTCGGTATTAACCTAACATCCCTTCTCCCCACCTCACGTTGGCATCTTGAAACTCCCTCATATAAACAAATCCACAAAGGTACGTGACGAGGTTTCGAACCTACGTCCGAGATCATACATGTGTATACATTCAGGTACATTTATAAACGTGTCTTCCCTCCCGCTAGCAAAATTCCTAACGCACCCCCGCTCCTTCCTTTTATCTCTGCTCCTCGCTCACATACTCTCTCAACTCCATTTCTCTGATCCTGTGAACGTGCACAGAACGGTTGGTAGGAGATTCTTTTAGCGCATAAACTGATCAACTGCACGATTTTCCCCACTGCCTCGTATCTCCTTGTGCTTCTCTTCTTACATATTGAAAACAATGTTTATTTTATCAGATTTTTGTTATTTACAAGAATACTTTGTCCAAATTCAATAGTACCATATTCTAATTTCTACTTATCCATTACGTCAATATATGTTCGACGGTCCACATGTTCTCAGGTTGAATATTCGCTCACTAGAATGGATTGGGAATGACTGCATAATTAATGTCATTATCAACTCTAGCCAGAGTTAGGTTAGGTTTCATTACGTTTCGAAACACTAATACGGTGTATTATTTACGATAATGTGAAATATAGAATTCGAAAACTGTACCAGAATTTTTTTTTTTACAAAAAAATCAGAAAACTGTCAGCATCTCTATTTAGAACAAAGGTTCTCTTGTCAGTTTACAGGTGTGCTATTACTGGAACCGTAATGTGCTTGCAGACCATCAGAGATATTTAAATAAATATCCATGTGGTTTGAAAGGTGGGCGTGTAGTTTCTGATGGCAGTGAATTTACTCCGAAGACGGACTCTGACATTTAATTGACAGGTCAGCAACACTATCAGGTCACAATACATCATAAATTTGCAGGCATTTTCCACTCTTGTCCATGTTAGTAAGAGTAATACTTTGAGATTATCTACTTTAATACACGATTGTGAATAATTATTCAAAAGTTAAACTAATATTATGTATACATTTCTTTTTATTACAAATATAAATTTACAAAGCCGAAATTGTACTAGAGGCCATCAATGTAAACATTTAACACTGTTGGTTACAGGGCTGCGACGACACCAGGCCATATGAGCCCCAGTCTAGGTAGGTAGGGAGGTAGGTCTTGCTAACCACATGACAGTCACCACCAGGGTCCACTAGGCCATCCGGACGTCCCCTCAACATGTGTTTGTGGGACGCCCTTCATAAAAGGTACCCAGAAAATTAGCACATGTCGAGCGATTAGCAAGACGTTTCGTTGGTATTCTGTTAAGTCATTCACTTCTTTAACAGCTGTTTGATGTCTTCCTCAAGCTGACGTGTTGGAAATTTTTTGCTGAACCTGAAATAGTCCAGGACACTAAATGTTAAAACCTACTTTGATTAAAAACTGAAAATCTCACACATACAAAAACAGATCAATTATGGAATTTATACGATGAATAGAATTTGCTTTGTCGACAACTACAAACTTTTACTAATCTAATTTTTTTTAGCAATTACTTTTTTTTGCAGGGATATTCCTGCGCGGGCCCTAAGCCTCTGGCTGGCCCACTAAGTGTTGCTTGTTTATTTTATTTGGGCGGAGTACGAGTATTTATGACTCTTATGGTCGCTTCAGTAAGATTTTGCCATGTGTTTAACAACTTCTGCTCTGTTGAATCCAAGTTGAAATCTTAATGGGTTTGTAACTGTGCACTGTGTTAGATAATGTTCCAGTGGTCTGTCGGGCATTTCTCCACAGCGTTGACATTAGCAATTACAGTTATACTATATTACAACCACTTTCAATTACAGACTAGGGGTTTTGATCCTAGCGGTTAAGAAATCTTTCAAGTTGGAAGCCTCTAGTTTAGTCCTGTTGTGCATTTTTTGTAAATTCCAGAGTTTAGAGCCAAACAAAATAAATGAAAAATATAATCTATTTGCAACTTTTAAACACGTTATCTCAGGGCTGTACTGTATATATGCATCAATATATACACCTACTTATGGGCAAAAGGTGACGTTACAGGCACATTACTAAATATAGATCACGTCACTAACTTGTTCCTCTGACGCTAGCCTGAAACGGACAATTGTCTATGATCCACTAAGATATACGAATAACGAAACTTCACTATTTAACGCTTCAAACATGCCACCACTTACAGGTATATACAAAATTAAAGTTGTCCAACAAAAACAAACTACATTAGAGAGCTTTTCTTAAATGTAAAGGAAGATTAGTAGAAAAAAGTATGTTCAATATTTAAGAAAAATTACTGAACGTTCAAGAATACACTACCAACCTTTTGTGTGGCAAACCATCTTTGCCAATGAGAAACTTCTCAAAGTTCCAGGCAATATCTGAACGTGTGACAGGATTCCAGATGATACACTTGGGGTCACGCATGAAGCTCACACTGTCGTCAGATGGCAAAGGAAGCTTCTCCTTGAGGTACTGCAAAACACACAAGGTTGTAGATAAACAGGGAACACCGAGTATAGACAATTGTTTAAACCATAAAGTGAACTGTTTGTTAATTATTTAAAACCAGTCTCCATAGAAATTAAGTTTATCCACACTGAAGTGTGGAGGCGTCTGACACTAGTCAAAACAATTTTCTAAAATAACCACAGGTATTTATAATAATCAATTTGCAGCGTTTTACTCATCACCCAACGAAAATGCAACATTGCATCACTATTTACCAACCTTGAAAATTGGATCCGCAGTCTCGCCATTGACGTCAACTTTGCAGAACAAGTCCATCTTGGGGACGTAGTTGTTGCCTGGACGAACATGCTTCAGGGTACTGAGGAGCTCTTTCTCAGTGGTGTTCTCCTGTGAAGAACAAGACTCATCAGTCACTATTATTGACAAGTGGACAATCAACTGTGTAAGCATGATGAACGAGGTCACACGACTTATTTTACAAGATTATGTAAAATCCAGTCTAACTTCCAGCTTGTAATACTGTTAAAAGACCTGTCGCAACCCCTACCGTGTATTACATGAAAATATTACACAAAATGTACACAACCAGCTATGTAGAAGGGTAACAATCATTGAACGATTAACATTGCGATTTCTTGCAATGTTATTTTATTAATTCTGCTAGAATTTACCTACTTAAAATTATCTGTTAGATTAAGGACCTGCCCGAATCTCTGCGCGTACTAATGGCTTTACTAGATTGTAAATATTATGCTATGTATTCTCACAAACCCAATGTACCTTGTATATAAATAAATTAAATAAATAAATAATAAAAAATGGGCGTTTCCACTATTCAGAAGGGTAACTTAAAATTTTTAAAAACACCAGGTAAGAAAACGCGTATAATATAAATCAAGACTGACATTCTATACATATATAAATACACACCTCATTAAAAAATTTGCTTTACCACGTCTTATTCACTGCATATATCAGATGAAAATGCGAAAGAGCCATTGACGGGATGACAAAACTGCTCACTGACGCACGATTACACAGTGACAAGACTGCTCTGACCAACTCCTCAGATGGTTTGATTAAAAACCAAATGGTAAAATAATTAGAATGAGGGTAGGCAATATTTAATGATCACGATATAGTATGTATCAGGATAAATACTGGCAATTTTAAGAGGATCTTAAAAAGCAAATCTTAAGAAATAAAAATTATTACTTTAGCAATAAACATTGCTAAACGACACTGCCTCCGTCGGTGCGAGGCAGACGTGGCCATATGAGCGCCTTCAAGGTGAGTAAGCATCGTTGTGCTGGGCTAGCAACTGGATGGTGACTACGTGGGACAGTTACTGCCATGACTACAGTAAACAAGGCATTCCTGTCCTACACACAGCAGAGCCCACAACACTTCGACAGTGGACCCACCAGCCAGGTAAGGGGACCCGGCGGGGCTCACCTGGTGACCAAACTGGTTGCAGGGGAAAGCCAGAACTGCCAGATCGCTACCGAACTTGTCAATCAGTTCGTTCATCTGGACGAAGTCCTGGGTTGTCGTGCCTCAGAGAGACGCGGTGTTCTGCACTAGTACCACCTTCCCCCGGTACTTCTTGAACGATACCATCTCACCTGAAGAAAATAATATACATTTTTATTACTTCCCTGAATCCCTTCACACTACATGAAGGTGTACGAAAGGAATTTTACTAGATACCATGGGCTAAAATGGGTACGAAAGGTGGCTTGTTAAAGGGGTCATCCTTTCGTCCTCCCCATATAACGCACAAGAACAATTTAAGAAAATATATCCGATTCTTTACAAATTTAATATTTGTAGGTTATACTGGTTAAAAAGGGGTATTCTTAAGCTTCCATTCATTTATAGAAAAATAATTTGTGGGGCTACAACTGGTTAGTGAAACAGGATGCAGACTTTAAGTATTAAAACAGGTTGTAAATCATTAGCAGCAGAATTACGGTATTTTTACTGCATTTTGAAATTATGCAATGGACTAAGTAAATAAAAAAGTGCAAAGCTTCAGATGTTATACTGAACCCTGACGACACTACAGCCTTAAACCATTCATGCTCACACTTATAAACACTAGACATATCCAGTTTAATCTGCAACCGGATACACAGTCGTTAAAACTAATCTATCATAGTGGGGGTTTAAACGTTTTCTTACATGTGTAAAAAACATTAGTTCATAAAAGGACTGAGTCTCCCCTGCCATGTGTTCTAAATTACTGTACAACATCTCATTCCGTTTTCTGTTAAACTTTACCTCATACCTGGTACATGTTGCTGGAAGACGGCTTCTTTAGGGCTAACCAAGCTTAAGTAGTGTGATGGAAAAGCTCAAACAAAATCACCAGTGCGTTTGACAGCCAATTGGGAACGTGAAGAAAAGTGTTGCAATGAAAGCTTTGGCTAATCGGGATGTACAGACAATATCTTCACAGACTCCGGTAATTTCTCAGGTTAGTACAATACTCACCTGTGGAAAAGAAGCATTTGCAGACAATAGATCCTGCGGTGCACCGGCAGTCTTACGCCAGATGGGAGAAGGTAGCCGGTGAGGTAGGTGCAGCGACAGACCCAGCTAGACAGGTACAGGGACAGACCCAGCTAGACAGGTACAGGGACAGACCCAGTGAGCGAGGCTACAGAACCGAGACCCAGCCAGGAGAACGAGGCGAGACGCCGGGGAGGCACGAGTGTGAACAATTCAGAGTTAGGACCGTTGACGTAACCATAATGACGCGCATGTGTAGTTTTTATAACGAATATGTCGCGGGAAACAAAACATAAGTGCGGGTGGATAGTTTAAAAGACCGAGGATGTGCTCAACGAGACATTATTAACGACCCGGTAATTAGTGAACAAGGCGTGTTATTGTAAAGAAGTTAGAAGCAGGGAGATGAAGGCCAACATGATTATGGCAAGAAACTTAACAAAGAAGCTGTAATTGAGACAATAAAGGAAGATCATCTTTAAAAAAGCGTGTGTTTGTGGCGCAGTAGACCCAAGGGCATTATATCAAAGCCGCGGTATGTACGCAGCTGGAAGGGTGACCACTCAGTCTCTCGCTTTGCTACGAGAACGACCTCTAAGCCTGGCACTGTCATACAAATGGCGGGAACAGGATGTGAAGTTTTTATATGCTAAATGAAGAAGCCTTTCACACCTGGTTTAGGTGTATGAAGTCAGTGGTTCTCTGGGCCTCACGCTAGTATGATGCCGGCGGCGTGTGGTGCTGTTTAATGGGGGATGTGTGCTGAATGGTAACGATTGTCCAGCCCGTCCTCCTGAGGTTTTCCCAACGTCAGGAAATTCATACTAAACTTAATCTTTAAACCTACCAGAGGTTAAAAATAAACAGGACAGTAAGTCAATTTCGCGAGCCACTACCATTTCTGGTACGACGATTTCTGGCTTCAAGTACAGTATACGTCAAAATGTGACGTGCTATTAAAACAGGTTACGATAAAGAACTTTGTTTTCAATATTGACGAAACCATGATGTTTGTGCAGTTACTGTACAGTCTTTAAAGACTTTCCTATCAGATATTAGAATGCAATACTAAATTGACAACCGTTGCATACGCCACTGATGTTAACCTGTTTGGTCTGATGTTGGGCTTTAGGCCTGTCAACTGCGGGAGGGTTTCCGGGGGTTTCATCACACACCAAAATAGTTTGTCCGCAACCAGAACGTACATTTCCTGTCGTTTTCGTAACCTTTTATTTACAAAGACCGAACCCTTCTGTTCTGCTTCATCTTCGTTATGTTATCGTTCCCAAGCTTCTTCAATTTTGGAGTTGCCATAACCTCTAAAGTGTGTCACTTATTTATCAAGAAAAATACCAATCTGTGCACCCATCCTCTGGTATTATTGTTGTCATACAGCTGGCATTCTCTTACCGCTTGCCTGCCTGCCTGCCTGCCTGCCTGCCTGCTTGCTTGCTTGCTTTATCTAGTGGGTTTGATCTAAAGTAATCTATTTTTGCCATCACAAATTAGTCATTAGTAGGGGTAACTAGTCACTTTTGTGACGGAGTACAAGCTGTCCCACTGGGTCTGGGTCACTGGGTCTTCAGTGTCCTGTCTAGCTGTCGTCATCTCGTAATTACCTAAGTGTAGTTACAGGATGAGAGCTACGCTCGTGGTGTCCCGTCTTCCCAGCACTCTTTGTCATATAACGCTTTGAAACTACTGACGGTCTTGGCCTCCACCACCTTCTCACTTAACTTGTTCCAACCGTCTACCACTATTTGCGAAGGTGAATTTTCTTATATTTCTTCGGCATCTGTGTTTAGCTAGTTTAAATCTATGACCTCTTGTTCTTGAAGTTCCAGGTCTCAGGAAGTCTTCCCTGTCGATTTTGTCAATTCCTGTTACTATTTTGTATGTAGTGATCATATCACCTCTTTTTCTTCTGTCTTCTAGTTTTGGCATATTTAATGCTTCTAACCTCTCCTCGTAGCTCTTGCCCTTCAGTTCTGGGAGCCACTTAGTAGCATGTCTTTGCACCTTTTCCAGTTTGTTGATGTGCTTCTTAAGATATGGGCACCACACAAAAGCTGCATATTCTAGCTTTGGCCTAACAAAAGTCATGAACAATTTCGTTAAGAACATTGTGTGCACTTGCACGCACGTGTGCACGCACATGTGTACACACATCTCAGGATGATTTTTATACGTCAGCCATCAAAGATTTTCATACTAAGCAAATATAATTTATTAGTTCCGAGAAGTATTTCTCCGGTAGCCTAGCACAAGGCGCTCCAAGGTGGGGTTGCCAGACACCGTAGACCAACCGTCATTACCGCCCGATTAACCTGTCGAGAGCTGCTCAATTTCTCCAAACTATTACATACCCTCTGACGATATTAATTCAATAAAAAAAAATTATGCAGGTTTATATTAATTTATGTTCCAACCTATTCTCACGCTGTGACAAACGTCCAGTTTAACCATGCACTGTAACTCTGCTCACACCTACACCTTAATAACATGAAGCACTACAATCGTCCTCTCAATACTGCCATCACCACGTCATTCAAGTTTTAATCAACATCAAAACTTAAAACCAGCTTTGCGCGCTGTAAGGCATATGTCCATATTTTTTATTTATATAGGAAATGCAACATTTGAAGGAGATTTTGTAACAGCGAGGGTGAACTGAACTGCCCTGGAGCAGTCTTCAATACAACTTTCAAGTCTATTACTGTATTGATCACATAATTCGCAGCCGCAACTCTCCAGCCATTAATTAGAGTTTCTCTCTAGCGTCCAGATGGCCAGAGTTACTTTGGTATCTGAATTCTTTACCTCAAATTCTTGCTAGCAAGAATTTTCACAACTTTGAATGCACTAGGCATCCTTTTACTACAAGTCAAGCATCTTATTACTTACTTTTAAGGTAAGCAAGGTCTTCAACTTCCTCCACCCTTTGTAAACTGCCAAGAAACTGCCTCGATTCTCAACCCGACGAAAGTTTACTTCTATCATTGGCACGTTACAAATGTTCTGGAATGTTTATTAAATTATTTTCCTTGTCAATAACATTCCTGAGGGGGGGGGGGGGGGGGGGGAGGGGGGGGGGAGGGGGGGGGGAGAAGGTAAGCACAATCTAGCATGTTTGAACCTGCTCTTAGTTTTGTTAACTCTTGGTAGTCTCTCGCCCCGTCTGCTATACTAAACTTTAACCGTTGTTGACTAGCCTTGGAATATTGGTAGCGTAAGTGATCCGTCGGTCGAGATACCGCAGAGAGTTTAGTGTTCAATGGATTATAAACTTAATAAAACTTAAAGTAGTCACCAGTAGGGAGACCTAAGCAGAGCTTCCATTTACCGTCTTTACGGTGGCCTTCAAGTTTTATTTATTGGGGATGGGACAGGGCAGTTTTGACTGGTTGCAAAGCGAGCCACAAACCGAGCTGTTAAAATGCGAGGTCATTAATATAGTGGTCATACTTCCAAATTTACACAATTATTTCAGTTTCCTGTTGTCAGACTGGGAGCGTTGGTTGGGTGTTAGGTTTAAGACCTATTAACCTCTGGAGCCAGTTCAGTTAAACATCAACTGGCTCGCTGACAGGATAGGCGAGCACCATTCCTTTTAAGAATTTCTAGCCCTAGCTAGCTTTACTCCATATAATGAATACCCTTTGACAATGCGACAGGAAACGGGACTTCCTATAGCGACGTCGGTTACCAGGCAGCATAGGGGCCCTCTCCAGCTGCTGATTCACTAAACCTTCTAGAACAAGGGAGGAAGGGTCCATGACTCAGCCTAAGAGCCATTACACACCGGAAATACAAGTGTCTGAATCCTCTATATATATATCCCATTAGAATCAGACTTATCCTTACTAAATTAAAACTTTGCTATAATTTTTGCCATACAAGTAATTATGTATTTAATTAGAAATATTATATACTTGTTACAGTGTTTACCAAAAATGCATGGCCAGGGGCATGGCCAGATTGAGGGGCACATGACCGCTCGACGTGTAGGTCTTTATACCCGCTTCTAATTAATGCAACTTTTCTCCCTTTTCTTGTAGAAACAATCTTAAATTTCAGTAATTGTAAGGTTGACAGTTCACAAATTAAAAGAGGACTATAGAGAAGCAAATGATAAGTGATGTATACTTTAATAGTCCTGGAACAACTTAAAGTTTCTTGTATATTTAGATTTGTGTATTCTATACATCTTTATAAGCTAAAATAATTACTATAATAGTTACCAACTATGAATTTCATTATTTGATAATTTATATGTCTACGAGAATGTATATTTGCGTGTCCAAGATTAGAGGCCATACGCTTGGGGGGGGGCCTAGCCTCACCTAACTTTGTAGGGTGGATGGTGTGGGGTACGGGACGGACATAGGCTAGTCAGGGTCACCAGAATTAATGAAGGAACCGAGTTCCACAGTCACATACAGACCCCCATCACCGATTTTGGCACTCCCTAGCTACAACTGCCTAAATATTTTAAATAAAAAAATCTTTTAACTATTATGCACTAAAATCAAAAAGTTAAAAATCTAATCACACTTTGCCCAAAACTGTACAAAACAGACTATTCTCCTACAGTTTCTAAAGTATTTTTTAAGCCCTAACCCTTTCTCAGAGCCAATAGGTAACATTTTTTTGTAAATATTTCATACCACTAGGCTCTTCCCACCAGTGGACCCGGACCACACTCCAATGGGGCATTATATATTTATAGAGAAACGAGAAGCAGAAAGAGCCAGATCACCCGCACCCCCAGTGGGAAACACATATATATACGCGCACACACACGTATACATGTATATATATATACATTTTTTATAAGAGAATGAAGCAGGGAGGATGTTTGAGGAAAGGGAAGGAGACATAGGATGTGGGAGGGGGGGGTGGAATGTTTCATGAGAGGGGATACAAGGAGAGACTGGCGGAGAGGTGGGAAAGATTGGAAAAGGGAGAGGGGAGAGATAAGAGAGGGGAAAAGGGAGAGGGGAGAGATAAGAAAGGGGAATAGGGAAAAAGAGACCTGGGCGCAACCGGGTACTTCCCCCCCACAAAGTATATTATATAACAATGCTTCTAGACCTAGAAATTACTCACCAGACAAAGCTTTAGCACTCAACTCATAAAAGTTCTTGGCCACCGATGAAGCCATAGTGCTGGTTAAGGGTAATTAATATCGATTATCTTCTAAATAACCAGTCGAGGGCGGAGAGCGAGCAGCAACTCACCCCAACGGTGTCCAGGATACGACTGAGAGCAAGACAGGCGGCCGGCTATGAAGTCGCTAGAACCATATGAATGTTGGAGGGAGGAATTATATTTTTTGGGGGAGTTTATTTGCAGTATCCAAGCCCCCTGTTAAAATACTTTGACAGGTTTTGGCTATTACAGATAATTTAATTTCATATTATATAGTTTGATAAGTTTTGGAATTAGTTTTATATTACTTTTTAGGAACAATAGTTTTTTGGAATACAAGTTTGGTATCAGTTCCACCTACCTGGTGTAAGGCTCATGGACTAGCTTGAGCTTAGGTAAGCTATTGTACTGGGGGCTTAATTATTTACTGTTATATTTAGATTATTTGGAGAACATAATACTACACAACGAAATTAATATTAGCATGCAGAAAGATACATAACTAAAATCAATACAAGCCAGAAGGGGACTCTGATATAACTATGATATCCCAAACGAGTCTTCAGTGAAGATGAAACATTCTTTCATTGCTATGACGCAATCGGCACGCCATAGCCTGTTGCGTGCAGGAAATGCGTATAGACTTGTTCATTCATAAAATGTTCTATTTCAAGAGTTATATATTTACAGTAAATCATTATACATTAGTGGAAGGTCTTATCGCTAATACATAATTGTTTGAGCAATGGAGATATTACAAAGTCATAGGGGAGCTGCTGTTTATTATTAGTCTTCACAATACACTACTTGTTTCTTAAATCTCATATGTCGTTTATCTACTGGAAGCGAAATATGGATACAGTGCAAGGATTTCAGGTATTTTATCCTTAGTAATAAGATAGGTTGCCATATCATGCAGCGTGAGCTTAGATTTATCTCGAATTGGCGCCTGTTTTTGTTTTTTGAGCCGCACGGCCTTGGGAACATTCCCCCATACTCTAAAACTAACTGAACAAATCCACAAGGGACGTGATGAGGATTCGAACCTGCGTCCGAGAGCATCCCAGACGCTGCCTTAATTTTGTTCATTTGATGCATCACGCAATTGTGATTTCTGTGTGTATAACTAACTTCCTGCCGGAAACATTTACAAGTTAAATTGTTTAACATAAAACACTTGCTTACAGCAAGAATGCCGAGCCCTCAATATAGATATTTACAGTGGATTTACAAACCCCTTACGAGTTTCTAATGCATTCAAATGGTTACATAGAGGTTAGTCATAGTGTCTAATAAATATATTTGTGAAATAATCGAGTAGCGTCCAAGTCCTGAGAAAATTGTCACGACTTTATATCATCGCTACTCTCTAAGTAAACCCAGCCAAACCCACCCAAACGCAACCCAACCCAATCCAACTTAACACAACTAAAAAGAGATAAAAATTTTGTTTCATAAACAGAATATACAGTGTGTGAGGTCCTATATTTTAGCCCGGTTCTGGTCTTGGGTCTTACTGGAAATAGTCAGCTCAGAGCCTGATCGAGCCCTGCCAATATTTACACAGCCATGTGGACAGTTTACAATGGCTGTCAACATCGCACGGAGGAATGAAGTGATTTTCCGATAGTTTCAACCTGGTTGTTTGACTCTTGAATGTTCCAGGTCAGAGGTTTGATCTTAGGTGTTTCAGCACTGATGTTTTTACTTCAATAATCCAGTCTTGATGTTTAAACCTGGATACTTCTACCCTAGCAAGTTGAAGTGAATATCTGCGCCCAGCAATGAGACGAGTGCTGTCGGGTGTTGGGTGCTTGTAGGTCCCAGCACTTTTAAACAGTTGCTGGTTGAGTGGTTACACCACTGGAGTGCCGGGGTCATGGAGACCCACCATGGCTGTCCGGGTTCGATTCCTTCAAGGGGTCAAGAATTTTCGTATGTATTAGTAATTGAGATACTAATTTCGTCGTATATATATTGCAGATTTATGACATTGTAAAGACATAAGTACATTGCATGACATACAGGTAAATAATTGAGAATATAAGCCTCGGGCAAGTTTTATATCAATTGCATGAAGCACTTGGACATTGTTTAGCAATTGTTATAAGCTCTAAATCCGCTCTCTGCTTCTTATACAACTCCCCGCTATTCCTCCTGCTTCCTGCATGACTTCACGTATTGTCTCTACATGACGTCCAAGCGCGATAAATTTCGGGGAGAGAGAGAGAGAGAGAAACAGACAGACAGACAGACAGACAGATGGAAGGGAGGGTGTGTGTGTTGGTGGATTATATAAAAAAAAAAGAGACGGATTGCCTTTAAATTTCCCTTCGTCTAGAAAATTACAGTTTCCAGATACAAAAACCTTCTCCATTGCGTGACAATCTTTCCCACTGTTGTTGTTGGTGCTTTCCTCCCTCGCTATAGTGACTCACCAGCGTATAGCCACACCCGAGTGTATAACCATACACTGGTGTATTGCCACACTCCCATGGACGGCTACGGAATGTGGTTCTCCACTGAGTTTAAAACACAAGTTATTAGCTGTTTTATGTCCTATCCGGCGAGCGGAGGTGACGTCACGCTGAAGGGGAGGTGACGTCACGCTGAAGGGGAGGTGACGTCACGCTGAAGGGGAAGACGTACACTTGTTCACGCATATGTATGAATTAAATGTGTGATTCACACACTTGGGTCTGACGTCAGCCTGAGTTAAGGCGTGCCATTCCAACAAACATGAAGCTGACGTCTACTAAACGTACCGGATTTCCTACCAAACGTTCAATATTTTCGACGTCACATTGTTTCAGTTACATCTTTTGAGAGAGAGAGAGAGAGAGAGAGAGAGAGAGAGAGAGAGAGAGAGAGAGAGAGAGAGAGAGAGAGAGAGAGAGAGAGAGAGAGAGTTAATCTCGGGTAATATATGGTCGACAACATGGCTTTAGAAAAGATCATTCTGCTACTGATCTCTCCTCTTCTGGTCCAAATCTCTCCACTAAGTGGCACCAGTCACTCGCCCAGTGACTGATAGCAACACAGTTGCTCCAAGAGCAACAGTGTTGTTGCACTGGACATTGCAGGCGTCATTGATCGGGTATGACACTCTGGATTCCTAGCAAAACGTCAAGCATTAGGTACCTCAGGCTCCATTTTACAGCTAATAAAGGACTACCTTCAAGAGCGGACTCTAAGAGTGGTCATGAATGAGGTATAACCGGAGAGGTATACTCAATTGGTGCCAGTATACCAGAGGGAAATGTACTTGGATCTTTGTTATAGAATGTCTACTACAATCATCTGTTACACCTCACTCCTGGAGCTCAGGCCTATGTTGATGAGTGTACGCCAACCTTCACATATGGACAAGAAGACATACCAACTGCTACGACGGTCATTAATGGACTTTGTCCTATGTTTATAAGGACGGGTTGGATGACGTATATATTTACTTCAGCCAGTCCTCCAAACAAAGACCCAAAAGTTATTCCATGCACCCGCCAAACCCCCCTATTTATGAATGAAAAACTGTTTTAACACGACTCACAACTACTGACGTTCGAACATATCCGGAACAAGTGTTTCACTGACGAATTTTGTTCGAATCACAACGCTATAAATGCTTCACCCACGTACTACAAATACAAATAATCGCCAACAGAACCTAAACACCTAACCTAACCTATGCCTATATATGCACAATATGCTAATATATTATAATATTAATTTATATTTGAGAAAATTCCCGTTTTGAATGAACAGCATGTTAAAATTTATAAATGCGTCTGTGGGGTCGACCCCTGGATGGAATGGACTTGAGTCGAGGACGAGATTGATTTACTTTTATCGAGCAGTGCTTTGTTTACAGCCTCTGCTCGAGTCGTACCTCTATAATTGCTTCATCCACGTACTGCAAATACCAATAATAGCCAACAGAACCAAACCTAACCTAGGCCTATCTATTCAGCACATTCCAGCACGTAATATTATTACTATATATTTTAGAATACATTTTGAATACACACTACGTTAAAATGCGTCTCAACTAGGGTGCCGCCTGGCCCAGCCTATCCTGAGGACAAGCCGCAGCCAAACGCAAATAATTGACAACAAATTCTAAACGCCTAATCTAACCTACACCTAAATATGTAAATATATGATAGTGTTAATTTATATATTTATCTTTATGATGGGCTGAATTATTTTTAAAACTAAATAATATAATAATGTCAGCTCTGTGGGTTTTTTCTGTTACGAAACATTCAGTATTGAAACAATTAAAAGTACCATTTTACTTACATTACAAATTAGCTGTTTGCAAAGAATTTTGTTTTGTTGATCATAATGATATAATGGCAAAATATTTATATTGATTTAGTTAGAAATAATTAAAAAAAAAGTTTAATATCAAACGTCGTATTTAGAATCATGTTGCCTCCACCTACTAATGTCAATTGTTATATATATATTTATTTTTTGAGGCTTGAGAAAAATGAAGGGCAGAACGTTATACAAATTAAATAATGAACTTTTATTATGCATACTATTAAACTGCATATTTGTTAAATTATTCAAATAATAATAATAATAAATTTAGCAACAAGCGAATGCTGCAAAAATGGATTCCTCGTATGTTATGTTCCAATATTTAACCCCCTCTCCCCCCCCCCGCCAAACAAAATACCGCATTTTCCACCAAATTTAACTGAAAACTTGTACACACACACTAATTACCCACAAGTATCTGTCTGATTACACGTAAAACATTAATATAATAATAATAATAATAACTAACAAAGATTTAGATGCTTGCTTTAGTACAGAAGAATTAGAGTTTTCCAAAGACAATGGTGCTCCCCGGGGTCCACTCGCCCCTCAGTACCCACTCTGAGGCGCGGACGGACCGGGGCGCTAAAGTTTACTCTGGCTGTTAAAACCAGTTTAAAAAAGCTATTTTCATGGCTCCTGCATAAAAAAAAACTAAAGTGATACGTCATTAGTGAGTCTTCGTGTGGCAGAAATATAAGAACACTCGCTATCGCACCAAAATTACATGAAACAAATCGAAAAATAATAATCGTGTGACGCTAGGCTGTATGTGGTTAGGAAATTGGTGTTAAAATGGTCTCCGTTTCCCTGCAGTTTGGGAGACATTGATAGACACATTGCGGTAGATAAGACGACCCCAGACTGTGGCTCTGTGGCACGGAGAATTACGATATTACGCATGTTTCCTTCAGTCTATCGAGTACCCATGATTCCCCCAGGGGGAATTACGCATGATTCTCCCCCCCCCACGTCATCAGTTATGGGTGACGACCATCCCCCCCCACGTCATCAGTCATGGGTGGCGACCATCCCCCCCCCACGTCAACAGTCATGGGTGGCGATCATCCCCCCCCACGTCATCAGTCATGGGTGGCGACCATCCCCCCCCCCACGTCAACAGTCATGGGTGGCGATCATCCCCCTCCCACGTCAACAGTCATGGGTGGCGACCATCCCTCCCCCCACGTCAACAGTCATGGGTGGCGACCATCCACCCCCCCACGTCATCAGTCATGGGTGGCGACCATCCACCCCACGTCAACAGTCATGGGTGGCGATCATCCCCCCCCCACGTCATCAGTCATGGGTGGCGACCATCCCCCCCACGTCATCAGTCATGGGTGGCGACCATCCACCCCACGTCAACAGTCATGGGTGGCGACCATCCCCCCCACGTCATCAGTCATGGGTGGCGACCATCCACCCCACGTCAACACTCCTGGGTGGCGACCATCCCCCCCACGTCATCAGTCATGGGTGGCGACCATCCACCCCACGTCAACAGTCATGGGTGGCGACCATCCCCCCCCACGTCATCAGTCATGGGTGGCGACCATCCACCCCACGTCAACAGTCATGGGTGGCGACCATCCCCCCCCACGTCAACAGTCATGGGTGGCGACCATCCCCCCCCCCCACGTCAACAGTCATGGGTGGCGACCATCCACCCCACGTCAACAGTCATGGGTGGCGACCATCCCCCCCACGTCATCAGTCATGGGTGGCGACCATCCACCCCACGTCATCAGTCATGGGTGGCGACCATCCCCCCCACGTCATCAGTCATGGGTGGCGACCATCCACCCCACGTCAACAGTCATGGGTGGCGACCATCCCCCCCCCACGTCATCAGTCATGGGTGGCGACCATCCACCCCACGTCAACAGTCATGGGTGGCGACCATCCCCCCCCCACGTCAACAGTCATGGGTGGCGACCATCCCCCCCCCACGTCAACAGTCATGGGTGACGACCATCCCCCTCCCACGTCAACAGTCATGGGTGACGACCATCCCCCTCCCACGTCAACAGTCATGGGTGACGACCATCCCCCCCACGTCAACAGTCATGGGTGGCGATCATCCACCCCACGTCATCAACCATGGGTGACGACCATCCACCCCACGTCATCAACCATGGGTGGCGACCAACCACCCCACGTCATCAACCATGGGTGGCGACCAACCACCCCACGTCATCAACCATGGATGGCGACCAACCACCCCACGTCATCAACCATGGGTGGCGACCATCCCCCCCACGTCAACAGTCATGGGTGGCGACCATCCACCCCACGTCATCAACCATGGGTGGCGACCATCCACCCCACGTCATCAACCATGGATGGTGACCAACCACCCCACGTCATCAACCATGGATGGTGACCAACCACCCCACGTCATCAACCATGGGTGGTGACCAACCACCTCACGTCATCAACCATGGATGGCGACCATCCACCCCACGTCATCAACCATGGGTGGCGACCATCCACCCCACGTCATCAACCATGGGTGGCGACCATCCACCCCACGTCATCAACCATGGGTGGCGACCATCCACCCCACGTCATCAACCATGGGTGGCGACCATCCACCCCACGTCATCAACCATGGGTGGCGACCATCCACCCCACGTCATCAACCATGGGTGGCGACCATCCACCCCACGTCATCAACCATGGATGGCGACCATCCACCCCACGTCATCAACCATGGGTGGCGACCATCCACCCCACGTCATCAACCATGGGTGGCGACCATCCACCCCACGTCATCAACCATGGATGGCGACCATCCACCCCACGTCATCAACTATGGGTGGCGACCATCTACCCCACGTCATCAACCATGGATGGCGACCAACCACCCCACGTCATCAACCATGGGTGGCGACCATCCACCCCACGTCATCAACCATGGGTGGCGACCATCCACCCCACGTCATCAACCATGGATGGCGACCAACCACCCCACGTCATCAACCATGGGTGGCGACCATCCACCCCACGTCATCAACCATGGATGGTGACCAACCACCCCACGTCATCAACCATGGATGGCGACCATCCACCCCACGGCATCAACCATGGATGGTGACCATCCACCCCACGTCATCAACCATGGGTGGCGACCATCCACCCCACGTCATCAACCATGGGTGGCGACCATCCACCCCACGTCATCAACCATGGGTGGCGACCATCCACCCCACGTCATCAACCATGGGTGGCGACCATCCACCCCACGTCATCAACCATGGGTGGCGACCATCCACCCCACGTCATCAACCATGGATGGCGACCATCCACCCCACGTCATCAACCATGGGTGGCGACCATCCACCCCACGTCATCAACCATGGGTGGCGACCATCCACCCCACGTCATCAACCATGGGTGGCGACCATCCACCCCACGTCATCAACCATGGGTGGCGACCATCCACCCCACGTCAACACTCCTTGGCCTTCAGCGCCATGTCAAGCAGGTATTATTCAAATTTTGTCACTTTACAAAATATTTTATTTACCTTTTTAATTGTCAGGTTATCCTTGTAAGCTTTACAAAATCACTAAACCGTATTCACTGTTAACGTAACTGAAAGTTAGAACGTACTCGAGACGCTGGCAACCGTAACAAGGGCCTTCGGTGGTTCCCCCTGTTAACCACTAAAGCCAACCTAGCCTCCTAAAATTGATAGTACCTACAGGATCGAACGTTTGAACTAGACTGTTGTTCCCTACTAAAGGTACACGTCCTGTACTTGAGGAGTGCTAAAGGGTACCTAAACACTTACCGTGTGGATGATTGACATGACGGTAAATCCTCGCTATACTTAAAAAACAAAAAGTACTTAAAAAAACGGTTGGTATACTCTCTAAAATCAGATATTATGTTCCAAACTCTGCTCTCCTCTCATTATACTACGCGCTAATCTATCCCTATTAAGATTGCAGTCGCAATAACGTGGCTGAAATATGTTGACCAAACCACACACTAGAAAGTGAAGGGACGACGACGTTTCGGTCCGTCCTGGATCATATTCACATTCGACTTGAGAATGGTTCAGGACGGACCGAAACGTCGTCGTCCCTTCACTTTCTAGTGTGTGGTTTGGTCAGCACTTAAGATTCTCTCTAGCGTAGACTTGAACATTATTTCCGCGGCATAAACCGGGTCTTTGTGTTCAGAGTAGTACGGTACAGTGATATTTGCAAACATTTCTTGTTTAGGTTGCAATAAATGCTAATTTAACACAGGCTTTAACCACTGTGCTTCTAAAATATATATCTAGCATTGACTAGCTTAGATTTGTTCGGGTTTGGTGCCTTCTTTTGTTGTTAACAAAATTTAATAAATTTCACTGATTTCATTGAAGATAAAAACACAGCATAGCGTAAAATGAAACAATAAATAACAAAATAGTGAAAATATAGAATTTTTTAAGAGCGATTAGCAAGCATATCATGAAAACATAAGAGTGCTATTGGTCCAAAGAAGACGTGCTCTATTTACCCCAAACTGTTTTCTCGTGTCCTATTTACACCCTATTGTATTCATTCGTGTAGTCAATGTATCACATCCTATTTACACCCAATTGTTTCATTCGTCTAGCCTATGTATCACATCCTATTTACATCCAATTGTGTTTCATGTAGCCTATGTATCTCACCCTATTTACACCCAATTGTATTTCATTCGTGTAGCCTATGTATCTCACCTTAGATACACCCCAATTGTGTTCACACGCACAGCCAGTGTTTCAGAGTTTCTTGGCTTACAATGAGTTAGTGAAATAGTTTGCCACAAGACTGGTCGTAGAATTAAGAGGACTCGCCTACGAGAACGGGGTAGTGTCAGATCGTACACATGACGGTTTTTCAAAGTATGTTTTCTGATTGTCAAAACCGTATATATCGTTAGGTTAATATGTATTAGCTAAGTTAGGCTCGGCTAGGTTAGTTTGGGTTGTGTTAGCTTAGGTAAAGTTAGATATGTTTTAAAATCTGTTGGGGAAATGCAAATCAATCTTGTGCATGATGTTTGGTATCCAAGAGAACTAGTCCTCACCACGCTTGAGACATTGAAAATAGGCGACATGATTGCGACATATAAGATTCTCAGATACAATAATAAAGTGGATATACAAATAACATATACAATAGGCTGAGAGAGTTTGGTTTGAAACAAACACTCATGCGAGTGAATTGTTGGCGTCAAGAAGCTTAATATTTGTTTTTGCTATTAAGATAAAGGCTAATTTTATCAATATGGTGTTAAAGCAGGGCTGATGGCATCTCCCTTCAGAAGCTCACTCGGAATAAATTATGTTTATAATTTGAAAAAAAAAATGTTCGGGCCTGTCCGGGATTTGAACCCGGGACCTCCTGCACCCAAAGCAGGAATCATACCCCTAGACCAACAGGCCACTGGAGGATATGATTCAGTTTTTACAGTGCTCTTTACTACCACTGAACAAGATTCAGTTGGAAAAAATGTTTCCGGGCCTGTCCGGGAGTTGAACCCGGGACCTCTCGCACCCTAAGCGAGAATCATACCCCTAGACCAACAGGCCGCTACTAGAAACTGCTTTGTCAGATATACAAAAGTTTCTCATCTACAAATAAGAAGTGGTAGTTCGAAATAAAAATTGAGCTAGGGGTTCATCTGAGGATTTGAACCCGGGACCTACGCATAGAAGCAGGAACCAAACCCCCTAGACAAATCCCAAGCTCGGTCTTAATAAGTAGTTATATTGTTTTCTTTATCGTCTTTATACTAATATTAAGACTTACCTTTTGCCGGGTGCAGGTATAATGGCTGATCAATTAAAACACTCGGTTTATTATCACAATAAAGCCTGTCGGATTAACTGACAACTTAAGAGAACTTTGTTAATGATGAATACCTGCGTGTTGTCAAGTGACAGCTGTGTGGAGGGCCCCCCCACCCCCCGTGGTGAGCCCCACCACCACCCCCCGTGGTGAGAAACTATGCCACCTCTGCCAAGTTTTATTTATTTATTTATTTATATACAAGAAGATACACTGGGTTTGTGAGAATACATAGCATAGTACAGTATTTACTATGTAAAGCCACTAGTACGCGCAGCGTTTCGGGCAGGTCCTTAATCTAACAGATAATTTTAAGTAGGTAAATTCTATCAGAATTAATAAAATGATAAAATTAATAAAGTGACCAAGATCTATGGAGCTCCCTCCGCTCCATAGTTCTTCATTCTGGAATATGATTTCATATTGCTCATGTGCATTAGAAGATTCACCACACCCTACATAAAACTACACCGTATTTTACGAGTGCTATATTTTAATAACTCAAGAACACGCACGTACAGAGGTTCCGTATCCCAACATCAGTAATATACCGAACACCCTGGTCGTGAGTGTGTGTTTGTTTACATCCTTTTGAATTGTATATTACGAGCGAACCAATCAACGCGTGGTGATGAAGAGGAGGCCTATCTCTCTCCTGATCTGCACTGAGGGCATTCAAGCGAGCGGCGCCTCCGGGCCCCAGGGGAATGAATATCTATACCGTGTTTACCTCCCTGCCCGGTGACACAGCGACGACTCCTATTAACTCTTTCATTATTTACCTTGTTGAAACTAGATGATGAAGTCTCGACGTGCTACCCTGTGTTTGTATATGCTGCCTGGTAGACCACAGAGTTGGCCAGGTGTTTCAATAGATGGTCTCACGTGCCGTATGACTGACTGGGGCCCTGTATTGGTTTGGGAGCCCAACGTTGGTATTGTGTAGTGGTGCGCGTTTGTGCATGCGCTAATATTTTGTTTTTGGTATTTTATATTTCATTGTGTCCGGGGACAGGTAGCCAGTTTATACATGCATGTTAGGCTTATATCGATTACAGTGAATTACAGTGTCAAGACAGTGACAGTAATCTTGACAAGACACAGTCAAGACAAGATGACAGTGACAGACTGGCTACTACTATCTCCCCCCCCCCTGTGTCTTGAGTCATCCACACCTCCACCCACACCTTGTCCTCAGGAGTCCAACTCCACACCTGCACATTCCTCCTCTTTAATATTCCTATTGTCCACCTGTTATTGAGAGGCGCCTCTGTGACTCGAGGGGTCAGACCCTCCCCCCAAGACTCGCCTCCCTGTCACCTACAAGGTAAACAATGAATACATTGATGCTTATGTTTGTTTCACGTGGGCCACTTGGACAATGTACTCTTATGGTCTCAGAGGGTTAGAGAGCGGCAGGCGAAGAGAAAAGTTTGGAAATGGGAAATATTGTGCGAGTTAAGACAGGAGGCGGGCTGTCCGCCTTGCTGACACGATGTGTGTGTGTGTTGGCGGCTATGTTGGCTGCTTACTCTCTGTTGTGAGGGAGCTGGGAGTCTGTGTGAGGTTCTTCACCCACGTCCCCAGAAGACAACCAATCCCCCACACAATCAACCAACCAATCCCCGGCAATCAACCAAAAAAAAAAAACTCATCCCCGGCAATCAACCACTCAGTCCTCACTAACCCCTCCCAAACAACCAACCAACCAACCACGCAAATCAATAAACTAACTAACCATCTGCCACCATCCTTCCTACCACCACCACCACCACCACCACCACCACCACCAACAACAACCTACCACCACCCACCAGCCATACCACAACACAACTGACATGAGGCGGCAGAAGTTTTCCTGGACCCGGTAATCAAGTTGAGCAAATTTAGGGCTGGCAGGAACAGAGCGTGATTAAAGGTGGGATGTTGTCCGCCTTCCCGACCCTCTCTCTCACGCTCCAGACCTCTCCGAGGGCCCCCACTAGCTCGACGCATTTGGAACGAGATCGACCACTCCATCACAAATGCAACGTGTTGGTAAAGCACCCCCTATATTGACGTTTTCCGTGAATAATGGCGTCGGTAGGCTATATAGGTGGGTTCTTTGGGTGTGAATGGTTCTAGTTATGCAAAATGGTTGGATGTAAGTCCTGGGAAGAGGAGGAGTGTTTTAAGAGCCCTCGGTCCAGGGCTCTCAAGAAGCACCCTTCTTGAGAGGGCTCTCAAGGGCTCTCAAGAAGAGCCCTTCTTGAGAGTCATACTT